CTATCCTCTCTATCCTCTCTATTCTCTCTAGAAGCGCTATTCTCAGTAATACCTTCTATAGGCCCTATAGCCCCTAGGGCTATACATATGCGGCAAGTACTCTCTTTATAGTCTAGGAAATCAGTAGGTGGCTTTCGTCCAAATCAGACCTCGTATAATGTATTTCCCTTAGGAAGAGCTAGTATAGCTATAGTATTAATTACCCATATAATTAAAGGAAGTAACTATATCTATGATTAGATACTAGTATCCGCTTATATAGCCCGTAGTCGTTTTTTAAAGATTCAATTAGCCACTTTAATAGAGCCCTGAGATTGAGGGTAATAAGCTCGTCCGTAAATAATCTTTATCCCTCTCTTTTTACAAATCTCAATTACTTTTCCCTTAAACTCACTCCCATTATTATAGGCTAAAATGGAAATATATCTATTATTATTTAGCTATTTAATAAGCTCGTCCGCAGCTTCGTCCGCAGTCTTAGCCTTAAGCCTACGGATCTATACGAACTTGGAAAAGTGGCATTTTAATTACCAGATCCACGTATATTCTTCGTCCCGATCATGCTATAATAGTATTAGTAATAGTAATACTATAGTATTAATAAAGTGTGGATAAAAAGGTTCGGAATTTACGAAAATTGTAGGAATCGCAAAAATCGCAGGAAAAGCTTAAAAACGTATGAAATATACGAAATGCACGAAATACAGGAAATACAGGAAATGCAGGAAATGCAGGAAATGCAGGAAATGCAGGGATATAGGAGTAAATTATATAACTTAAGGGATACTTATACGAAAATCCATTAAATCCAGAACCATACGCTTGCCAGAATAATAAGATTAGATAGGTATAATCCCCTTAGGATTCTTCTGAGCCTTTTCCTTATTATAGTAAGTATAGCGGGCACTTATCCAAGCGTAGTTATTACGGGATAGGCCATGCCAAATACGTCTTATATACTCAAATATAGTATTAAAGGCTATTATATAGGTTATTAGTATAAAAATTAGTAAATTTAAGGAGTATTTACCTGTATATATTAATTTCTTATAAATAGTAATTAAAACCTCAAAGGTATTATTATAGTAAAAGATATACCGGGCTAGAATAATCTTATTATAGCGGGTATCGTAGTATTCCTTACGATATACCTGATTATCCTGAAGCTTGTATAATTAGGATTTGTACTTAATATTAGCCTAGTAATACTTCTCTGCTTTTATTCTACTAAGAAGTAAAGTATCAGGATTTTGTAACTACTATCTAATATCTATATACTTCCTAGTAATAAGAATTTTCCTACTACTGCCCTTAGTAAGCCTTTGATTCCATATAGCTTTGTCTTTAGCAGACCAATTATTAGTAGGGTCTTTAGTAATAGGAGAGGGCAAAAACTGAGTATTAGAGGAACGTACTCCTGGTATAGTAATATCAAAATATTGCTCTACTCGGCTATAGATACGTTAATGAGGTATATATAGGGCTAGAGATAAACGAAGAATTAAAAGAGATATATTGGAAATAAGGTAATTAATTAGGAGGTATATAGAATTAGTAATTATACTTGGAAAGTAGGTGCTTATACTATGAACTATATACTATAAACTATATCTAGATAGTAAAAAGGGAGCAGAGGCCCTATATATATCTAGAAGCTCTAGAGAAGTATCTTTACCCCTATTATATACTAAGAACTAAAGGGTTTCAGCTATTAGTCTTAAGGATATATTATTATATACTGAGAACTAAAGGGTTTTAGCCATTAGTCTTAAGGATATATTATTATATACTGAGAACTAAAGGATTTCAGCCATTAGTCTTGAGGATATATTATTATATACTGAGAACTAAAGGATTTCAGCCTCCTTAGCCCCGAAACCCCAATATTATGCGATTAATTAATCGGCCATTTGATTAATTAATCGGCCCCCTTATTAATTAATCGGGACCTACTATAGCTTGCGAATCGTATTCCATTTCCTATTAATTAATGGGAGCTATAATTAATTAATCGGAAGGCCAATTAACTATTTATAGCACCCGATTAGTAAACCGCTCGTATTAATAAACGGGCGTGAATAGCTCGAGATTTATTTTATTTATTAAATTATTATATTAGTTATTTAGTAACTTTCCTAGTTTTATTATTAAGCAAGTAAACTCTACCTAGAATACCAGAAATAGCTTATTTCTTTATCTCAGGTACTAGTATACCTCTTTTATTTCCTAGTACTTTATCTCTTTACTTTACTATAAGCTTACTAAAGAATCTTAAAGATCTATTTAATAATTAAGATCTATCTGACTAATTCAGGTTCTAGTTAATTATAAATAAAGTTATAGGTATCTCCGGTAGCTAATTATATTATATAAGTAATTTTTAGTAGTTTATTATTAAATTTAGAAAAGTTCTATATTAGTTTATTCCTTATATTAAATATCTAATTATTAATCTAGTAATTATTCTTACTTATAAATAGGGCGGGATTCTTAATTCTAATAAGCTATAATTAATTACTATAGACTAAAAGCAGGAGGAAGCCTTAGTATTAGTCCCTAAATAGTTCTCCTAATAGGAATCTATAGTATTTCTAAATATCTACTTACTTAAATCTTTACTTTATTACTTCTTCTTATACTAGTCTTTCCCTTATACGAAATTAACTAGTAATTGCCTCTAGCTTATTAACTTTCTTAGTAAGTTAGTTAATATATAAGTAGAATTTCTAATAGTATTCCGCTTATTTATTAGTTATAAGGCAATATTTATTAATAAGATTATCCCGTATAAGTAATTTCTGCTAGATCTTATCTATTTTTGAAGTATTTATACTAATTTTGAGTTCTAAGTTAGCTAGCCGCTCTTTAATACCTTTTTCCGGAATAGTATTATAATAGCTTTCCTAGTAATATGGGTTTATAATATTAAAGTTTGGCTCCTCCGTTTTATTATACTAGGGCCTCTTGTCTAATATACCCATAGTAGTAGTACTTGGCCCCGGGCCATTTATAATAGCTTTAGAAAGGGTATTAGCTATAAAAATAAGTACTAAGTAAGTTCTTCTTATTTAATATTAGCGAATTATAACTAATTATTATCTTGTCTAATTTTAAGTTAGTAGACTAAAACCGACTATTATCTTTTCTTGTTTTAAATTAGTAAACTATTACTAATTCTTCCTATATCAGGAAAGAAGGCCGGTTCTTTTACTCTTATTAGTATTAAGGGAATATTATTTGCTCTAGTTAAGGGTCAGGCTCCGAGGTTAATTAAGTTATAAAGAATATTATACTTCTAGTTAAGCTCTCTAGTTCTTTATAATTCGAGGAGGTTATTAAATATTAAAAGCAGTATTCTGTTTTTGCTTTCTAAGAATAAATACGGGTCCTTTACTAGTAGTATTATATTGCCTCTATAAGCCAAGTCAAGTAAACTTAGTATTATATAATAGTAGAATTAATATAATAATTAAAGACTCAAAGTTTAAAGAATCTCATATATTAGAAAATACTAAGCTATGAAATAAAATAGGGAGAATGCCTCGATCTTTAGTATTATTCCGTTCAAGTAATTCCGGCTTAGCTTTATTTTGTACCTGTTTCCGATATCCTGTCCTTAGCAGATTATGCCCTTATACCAGCCGTTATAAATAGCAGGAATAAAGAAATAAAATAAGGCTTAAAGATCTAAGATTCTAGTATCTTATAGAATCTAAAGCTAAGGAGAAAAGAAGTAAGGTATAGTAGTAGATAAGTAAGTAGCCAAGACTACTAAAATACCGAGCTTGATTTGAATCTTAGCTTAATATTACGGATACGGCATTTAGGGCTTGGAAAGCAAGGTAGAAGGTCTCTTATAAAGATAATTTAAAGCTAAGGAAAAGAAAGCTAGAATACAGGAGGCTGTGGGCTTAAGTATACTCATAATACGCTAGCCCCTAAGGGGCCTAGCGTCCTAAATATCTCTATATGCATTCCTATACTAGCTATTAGGTAACTATATTAGGTAACCAGAACGTGGAAACTAGAACTATAATACTTAATACCTTAGCTAAAACCTTAGCTAAAACCAACCCGTAATACTTATATAATACTAGCTATTATATTTTTACTTATTTTTCAAAAACTCTAATAACTTAAGAATTAATTAATGAATTCTTTTAATTACTTAAGGCTTTATAAAGAAATAAATATTTCAAAATATATATAAGTATTATATAAAGTTATTAATATAATATAAAACAATACTATTATTAAATTAAATTAGCTTTTATATAATATTGTTTTATTAAAATTCTATTAATTATTAATAAAGTTATAGTGTTTTGAAGTTAATGGTAGTATATAGTCACGTAACAACCACGTATCGGGACCATTTCTATTACTACTCGATACAGAAAACACTATTAAAACAATAATGCAAATTTTCGGAAATACCCCATTTACCTCACTCTATCTCACGTTATAGAGCTTCTAGCTAACCTCACAAGGCTATGACAGAGAATTTACATTACATAATACGCTTATGCGCTCGTCGAAAGATATAATATTCAGATACATATATGGCAAGACGCGATTCGACCCCGTTAATGAGCCCTCATACGAAGTCCTTGGACAAGCCTTTATAGCCTACCTCTTCTAAGCAAGTAAAATAGCTCGAAAAGTAGTTCTAAGAAAAGGAGTACCTTTACAAGCACTTTTATCGAGTACTTCTAGAAGCTTTCGATGCGTCGAGTCAATCCATGGAACCTCAGAGCGTTTATATATATACCCGGCGTATTTATAGTATCTCGTGGCAGAAGACTACGAGTAAGCCAACCATTTGCCCTTGTCGGGAGGCACAATACCCCATACATATCGTTACCTAGCTATATTTGTCCTTTTACGCATTGCAGGGAGGTGCCAGGACGGCGAGGGATAAGGGGAGGAGAGGAAGGGAGGGAGGGGGTGAGGTGTTACGTCAGGACAGGAGAGGGTATTCTTCAGCTCCTTTTTCCCATAGGGTTTTGGAGCTATTTACTAAAGCCCAGGACCTCTTTTGCACGCGTCTTCTTGTTAACAAGAAGTGGATTAGTCAGCGAAAACATTACCTGAGGTTAGAACTCATGTAGTTAGTCCCCGCATGGGCCTTTTCAGGCCTAGAACGGAGTATGAATAAAACAAACAAACAAACAAACACTACTCGATACACTGCCGCGAACAAGATACCTCAATCGATCCTTATTGAAACACTCTACCAACGCCAAACAAATCCATCGCCATTAGTTTTACCATTATCCTCGCGCCGATGCCACTTAACTAGACCACCCCGAACACTTTATGATATCTCACAAGACTCCAAGGTCTGCCGGGGTGATACGAAAACCATTTTCAAGTTCATCTTCCAATGGCACCACAACTCGCTCATAGACCAGCTTCCTGAAACCTTCATCGTCGAGACTGAAACTGTCTTCAGTGCCAACGTAGTCGACATTCAGACAGGCCTGGATTGCACTCCGGTAACCTTCGTACAGGTCGTCTCCCATCTTTTCCAACAGCTTTTCGGCTGTGATCCAATTTGTGTTAATGCCCTCCATGCCGTTTTCCATATCATCCTCTTCCCACAAAGATTCAATTGGCTTTGCCATATAGAGCTCCAGAAGCAAGATTCCAAGGGACAGAAGAGCTGGGCTTGGATGGCTATACATATTTCCTGACGCTTCTTCTGCAGTTTCAGACAAGGGCTCGAACTGCGTGACAAGATATGGCCTCATCAAATCTGGGCCCATAGTGGTCGCGAAGAAGTTGACATGCTCCTTGTTCCAGTTGTTCGACAACCAAGGACTTTCGCAGTAATGGAGGATAGCGTGGGCAAGAACCACCGCTAGAATCCTACTTTCCTTCAATTTCAATTTCAGTCTCGACTCAGAATCTCCAAGCAGAGTCTTGAGTGGGATTCCAATCTCCGGCCTGAGGACAACACGACTCCTGGTTGGTCTCGTTTGCCAGAGTCTCTCTCCGTCAAACACAAGCTCTAGACTGTAGTTGTGTTCATAAGCCTCTTTGATCAGTGTACAGACGGACTCGGTGTCAATATAACGGCGTGGGCCCTCAGAACCGAGCCTGTGCTCAACGAGGTGTTCAACGAGGTCTTGCGCGTCCACAAACCTGACGAGTGGTCTGGTTTTTGTTTCCCCTCTGCTAATATTCGATCTGATTTAGCCTTTTTCAGGAGGAATGGAGGGGCTTTCTGGAGTAATTACCTGTCGAGAAGAATGCTAATTCTGCTTTCTAGCCAAATCTCCTTTTCTGGATCTTCACTCCTCATGGACACCAACAGGTCAAGATGGATTGCGGAGTCTGCCTTCTCTGGACTCATCAGACACTTCAAAAGACCCAATCTAGCCTCATGAGGCGACGGGCAAGGGCAGGTCCAGTGGTGTCGGGCAATCCTTTGGTGTGCATCCTGGGACATTCTACGAGACGTGTTCGTAGGAGGTCGTGCCTTCCGCAGAGAGGTCTTCTTTGCTGCATCAATAATGCCAGCGGGATGGCCGTGGACAAATCGTTCCAATTTCTTGTTGCACTTAGAAATCCTCTTGATGTTTTTGGCACGGCGTTCTCCTTTGGTCGTGAACTGGAATCGAGCACGGAGGTCATGGATTGTCACGCCATTGGCCATGTCTTCGCGAAACCCTTCAAGCTTCTTGAAAAGACACGGCGAGCAAGTCTATAGTTTATCAGCCGCGTCAGTGTTGGTGCTATCTCCGGGGGTCAGTAACTTACCACGTCGGACTTGATAAAGCGAAAGGATCTCTCGCTCACGACTTCCTCCAAGGATTTTAGCAGACGGCTTAGAATGTCTGTGAAGGCCATCTCTGCATCGCCTCCAAGCCTTGTCCTTAATGCGGTGCTGACACATTCCTGCTTCCATTCTCCTCGATCAAGGTCCAACAGCCGATCTCTTTGGCTTTCGTCGAGCGTCGCGAGATCGGTGATCAAGGATCTTAGAGTATGTCCGAGCAAAGCTACCTCATCATGAAGCTCTGACAGAAAGTCTTCAAGCTCCTCGTCTCTGGCCTTCCCAGACACAATTGTTCTAGCCTTGCCATATGCTTTTCTGTGGTATTCAGTTGCCGTAACCACCAATGGCACCAGAGCGAAGGCGAGCTCGAGACCAATAATCATCGCGACGTCTCGTTCCTACAATGGATAGCTTTCTGAAGAGGAGGCTCGAGGTGAGCTGGGAAGTCACAGAAAGGTGTGCAGATGCGGGATCAAGGTCTATGATTCCAGGCAGCGGGGGTGGCACATAAATGCGCCCGAGAAATACGAGAAGGATCACGGGCGCCTGAGAGACAGTCTCATTGAATGCCGCAGCACCCCCACGAAACACATCTGTTGTGTTACTGTAATCAACTGGATATCCAGCATCCGGGTACCACCCTTGAAGCACAGCATGCATCAGTGAACTAACAGCCCTCATGATGGTGTGCAGCACGAGGCTGCGGCTAACTCTCCCTTCCCGCAGCTCAGCAAGGTCTTGCTTTTATTCCAGCAAACGGAAATTCGGCTCTTTTCCTTCGTCCGTCTTTCGTCAGCGTATTGTTTTTGCTGCTGCAAGAGATGGAGTCTTTTGAGATTCGCAGACGAGCTGATGAATGTCTCTCAGACTTCGATGCGCTTGTTGCTGTTCAACCCACAGCCGACGACCGCCGCAACACAGATGATCTCAATGAGGAAGAGCAAAGAGCACGGTTTCTGATCTGGTCAGCGAATATTGGAGTCTTCGCAGATGGGCATGCATCTCTCGACTATAGACTGCGAAACAGTCTAGAAGCCAGAAAGCTAATGCTAGACCTTTTGAGGAGTCTCAAGACTTATCTCCGACGAGGTCAACAGCGCTCCCTCATCTAAGATATAAAACGATTCGCTGATGCCCCTACAGCAACGGACACTGTCAGACAGATTGACGGAATTGAAGATCAGTTAATTTCACAATCTAGTTCTGAAGATAGCTTCAGTAGCGATAGTTTCCAGCGAAAGTCAACAACTTCAGTCTTGTCTTCGTCATATCATGGCTCAACTGCAGAAACGGATGACTCGCTTTCAGTATCGATTGATCAGGACCGAACTCCTTTCGAGCAACGGCTCTATGGAGTCGAACAGGCTATCGACCGCTTATATCGACTATCCGTGGCTCTTCGACGGCCTTCAATCATAAGCCAGAATGCAAAGGCTGCGAATTTCGTAATCAAGGACGAAGAGGGTAACGATATCGGCGAACAATTCGCTGAATTTGCATTCAAGTGGATCACTCATCAATTCCCCGATGCAGCTCCAGCAATTCGTAAACGACTTGCGAAGTCAGTCACCTTGCGCAGGAAACGCTTTCTATACCGCCAAAGTCATCAAAAGAAACTAAGTACAAAATCGTATCTTTCCCCGCCACCACTAGCGGAAAGGTCACCTTCACCAGGACTGGATGCAGAGTCAACGGTCATAGCTAGGACTATCATCGAAAGTCCAGCTCAAGGTAATTATGATAAGCAAAATATGCTCCTCAAGCCAAGGTTGCCTTCACAGACGTCTGCTTCGAAAGTCTCGGGGAAGTTCAAGACTGAAGATGTCTTCGAACCGTCCGCATCGAGAGCTCCCACAGTGTTCTCTAGTACCGGTACTCAACAAGCCGCCATAGCAATACCCGACCCCCCAAAACTGTTGCCCGGCAGTAAGGAATTTGAATGCCCCTATTGCTGTATGATGCTTCCTATGAAGGAGTCCACGCCGGTGCATTGGAGGTCAGCGGCCTACTCAGTCAGGTGAAGCTTCGCTAACGCAAAATTGCGGCAGGCGTCATCTCTTGAACGACCTCGAACCTTATGTATGCGTTTTCGAAGATTGTAAGGATTCACATAGGTTGTTCAGAGACCGAGCCTCGTGGCTATCCCACATGCAAGAGACACATACAAAACAATGGACCTGCACGGCGGCAGGCCATGAGGTCTCTATATTTGAAACTGAAGAAGACTTCGAACATCACATGCGATCGGATCATGCAGGAGGCTTCAAAGAGGCACAGCTACCCTGGTACAAGAAACGCAGCCAAGGTCCATCTGCAAGCACATTCACTGCATGCCCTCTTTGTGGCTACGAACCAACCGAGGATAAACTGGTAACTCTCGCCGTCGCAAAGGAATCGGACCGCAATCAGAAATATAAGCGTGGCAAAGCCATCTCCGAAGACATTGCTAAACATTTGGCTTCTCACTTGCAGGCTCTCTCGATGAAAGCTCTACCGTGGCAAGAAACTGAGGAGGAGGCGCCAAGTGAGAAATCAGCATCGAAGCATGCGAATGAGGGACATGAAAACGACGATGACAATAGGTCGTCTCTTTTTCTACTTGGCGACCATACACCAGATACACCCCTCCAATTTGATGACGTTCCTGAAGATATTCAGCCAATCGAATTGGAAACTGAAGCCTACGAAACCACTGATAATGATCATATTCCGAAGTCTTACGAGGAGGAATGGGGCTTTCTCCGACGACGTGAATACTATGGCCACGATAGAGATCCAATTCTTCAGAAACTACTTAGAAAATTATACCTCGACTCTTCGTCAATGGAAGATCCCCACACAGGCCCAGTCTTACCCGTCTATATGATGCCGCCGACTCCTCTCAACAAGAACTTCTTTGGCCGCGAGTGGGCTTTGAATGCAATCAGTGCAGAACTCTGCCCGAGGACTATTACTAGACTAGCGGATGGGAAAGCAGTAACGTACCCACTCACGTTTGCAATCTGCGCTCCTGGTGGAATGGGCAAGACCCAAGTGGCGATCCAATTTGCGCTCACACACCATAAAGACTTCGACGCAATTTTCTGGGTCAACGCAGACAGCGTTAATGAGATGGCTCAGGGATTTCAGCGGATTGCCCTACTTCTTGGTCTCGTTCCAGAAGGCTCCGCAGATGCGAATGACCTCCTATATACTCGTGAGGCAGTCAAACGCTGGCTCGTGAATCCACGAGCCCGTGACAGCGACGGTGACAGACGGTCCAGGAAGCGGGTGTCTTGGCTGTTGATCTACGACGGAGTACAAGACCCAGATATTCTCAACGATTACTGGCCGTATGATGGGCCTGGTTCTGTCCTCATCACCAGCCGCAACCCTTTCTCCTGGACAAAGTCACTGCCACTTAAACCGTTCAATTCCGACGAAGCTATTGCTTTTCTGTTAAAGTTAACAGGGAGAGAGATATCTGACGTTGAACGAAAAAGTGTGGGTAATGTCAGCGCACGATTAGGCGGACTGCCTCTCGCATTGACCCAGATGGCTAGTATCATGGTCACGAAGCAGCTTAGTTTCAGCCAATTCCTTGATTCTTACAACGAGAGAGAAAGCCAACGAGAGCTGTTGCAGTTTCAGACGGATCTCAAAGGGGGCAGCAGCTACGCACATACTGTTGCCTCGGTGTGGGCGTTCGAGAACCTCTCACACGGAAAGAAGTTGTTAAATGTATTGTCGATGATCGATCCGGACTGTATCCCAGAGCGGCTGCTTACCACTGCCATGAATGCGATTGACCTTCCTGGCTACCCCACTTCAATCGAGGAATACCAGATTGCAAGAGGGGAGCTTCTTGCTTGTTCCCTTGTAACGGGCAACAAAGAGGAGCATAAATTGTTTATTCATCGACTCATTCAAGATGTTGCGAGAGCGCGGATGGGGCATGCAGAGTTCCGACAAACATTCGTTGCTTGCGTGAAGCTGATTACATCCATTTGGCCGTTCGAGAGCTTTGCGTGGCGTCATGGCATCGCACGCTGGCCCAGTTGTGAGGAGCTGTTTCCGCATATTACTAGGCTGAAAGATCTCTTCCCTGCGGTTCTCCCCTCATCGGGGAGTTCAAATAACTACCATTTTGCCAGACTACTTACCGATGCTGGCTGGTAAGCTTCATTTTCCATCCAAAGCCCCACCTTGCTAAAGAAAGTCAGGTATCTTCATGAGCGTGGGAAATCAATCGACTCGAACTTGTTCAATAACATGGCTCAGTCAATCTGCGAGTCACTCAAATTCCGACTTTATGAGCAGTCTGGTGCCTTCTCTGATCATGGCGTCACACACGCTGAGCTGAACTACACACTTGCTGAACTTTACCACAACCGAGGCTGCATTGCCAGTGACGCCAACGACGCTGTTGAAGCGATGAAGAACCTCAAGAGCTTCCACGATATGATGCAGAAGGAACTTGACGAGAAGACTCAACGCACTGATATGCGACTCGGTCTTGCTTGCAATGAACTTGGTAATGCTTACATGCTCAAGGAAGATTGGGTAGAAGGCGAAAGATACTTCCTGAGGTCCATCGAATTACTCGAAAAGTTGGACGACTTTGAGCCAATATTGATATCCCTCCCCTTGGTCAATCTCGGCTATGCATACTGGTTACAAGGTAGATTGGACGAGGCGGTCGCTGTCCTGGTGCATGGAGCAAGTGCTCGTGAGGAAAAATACGGCGACAATGATCGAATCTCATTTATGTAAGTCATTCCATTCTATCCCATCTTGACTGCATGATCTAACCTGTCTTTCCAACAGCTCAGGACGATTTTACCATGCACTTGGAAACGTAACTTACGACCAAGGCTCCATGGAAGACAGTCTCGGCTACCACCGTAAAGCCCTAATCCACTACAAGTCTACCCTTGGCAACATTCACCACCGCACCGCAGCCGTCTTTGTCAAAGTAGCCGAGCATAACATTCGTATTCACCAGTACGAAATGGCTGTAGCTCTGTTGGACCAGGCGCTAAGGGCATACTCGATGTCGAATAACTACGTACCTGAAAAGGCTCGTGCTTCGTTCAAAAAATCACACGCACTACGTTCCCTGCGCATGATTGACGAGGCAGATAAAGAGATTCGCATGTGCTTCCGAGTATATGCTGGGCTTGTCGCGGAGAAGAACGTCTTGACGGGGAAGAAGACGATTTCGAAGACGAGGGCCGAGGACCTTATCGATAAAGACTTCGATGATTTAGTGGCATTTTGGTCTAAATAAGCTGTTGATGAACTAGGCGTAAGATGTTTGATACGGCGTTCTTTATTTCTTGCCTGTAGTGTAAAAAGTTTTCTTACTTGATTTCTAAAATCCGGGAGGGCGGCATCCCAAATCTTTATAGGAGCAGGGAGGATAGAGGCGGCTAATGCATTCTGATTATGCTACCATCTATGCGAGGATGCTAGGCTGCTGTGTTTTAATCAGAAATCTCGTACCAACCCAACTTTCCGGGTTCCTAAGTGCGTTCAAATACCCATGTAAATAATTTCCTGCCCTCCTAATACACAATCACCTTGCCATCACGAAATATTAGCTCTGTAAACCAGAAATGCAAAGCCAAATTACCCCAGAAGAAGTCGCTGAAAACAACACCTAATGTTTTAGGAGAGAAATACCCAGAGTCAATAGTACTATTCAACAGCACTATCAGGGGGAGTAGATCTGGTGACTGGGGAGAAGACAATTATCTAAAAGAGAGTTAACCTCTAGTCGGGCACGAAAATGACTCCTTTGGGCGGACTATACGGTGTGTTAAATGAGTAGAGTAGAGTAGTGGATCCTGCTCATACTCTACTCAGCCAAGATATGTCCTACTTATACTCTACTTAATACTCATTAAATATATACTTAAGTAATTTAAGTAACTTAAGTAATAAGTTGCGTGCAAGCATATATTATAGTAAGGGAATTCCTTAGCCTAATTATTAGTTTTAAACTTACTTTAAAAGGCCTTAATATATCTAAGGGTAAGTAAAAGCCAAAGCAATCCTTATATATTCCTTTTTTCTTTAATTTACTATTTAAAAGTTATATATTTTAAATAATATATTATTATTATGAATTTTTACTAGTATATTAAATAGTATTAAAGAAATTTTAATAAAAAAGATAATAAAGATAAGAGAAAGTAATAAAGAAAAGAATTAGATAGTATTTATAATATAATAAGAAATATTTATTAAAATATACTATATAATAAGCTATTTAAACTATTTAAGTATTTTACTTTACTTAACTTATATTTAGTTAGGGAAGGCTTGCTAATACTTTACTTACTATTTAATAAGTATTTACTTAAGTAATTTAAATAGTTTAAGTATTTCTTTAATATACTAATTATTTCTCTTTCTTTAAAAGAATTAAGAATATTCTAACTATTCTAATAATACCATATAAGAAATACTATATCTTTCTATAGTTTCTTAATAATAAAAAGAATATAAGGCACGTAATAATAGGATAATAAATAAATAGTTAAAATAAATAAGCTACGAAGTAATACTTATAAATATAACTAATTCCAAGAATTAATTCTAATAAAAAACTAATTAATACCTCTTTCCAAAGCTAGAAATATCTCCCTATATATTTCCTAGTACTTAGTTAAGCCTATAAAGCACTTTATTTAACTAGGAAATATAATTTCATATAATTTATATAATTCTAATTATAAGCTTTACCTAAAATAGGAAATTAGATCTATAATATCTAATATCTATTTATATACTATTATATATATCTATTATATTAACTTCTTTTCTGGGCCCTTATTCCTAAGAGGCCTAAGAAAACTATAAATAGCTTTATAAATAATTCCCTAAAACCTTTCCGGCTATTACTTCTTTCTAAAAACTTCCTATAATTACCCTATTATTATATTAGGTAATAGACTTAAGAATATAGTTTACTAATCCTGCCTAGCTAATTTATAAATTATCCCTAGTAATTTCCTCTTATAAAAGTAATATAAATATAGTATATATTATTAGATAAAAAGCTTTTCCGGTCTTCTAATTAGTTTATAAATCCTAACTTAGCCTCTATTTATAAATAAATTATTACTTTATAAGCCTAAAAGCTTAGAAAAATTAATCCAATCTTCTAATTTATTTATAAATTCCTTTTTTGGAATTTTCTAAATATTTCTAGTATAAAGCTAGTTCCAAATTTATAATTACTATTTAGAGAAAAAATATTATAAAAAGGCCTCTCTTTTCCTACTAACTAATTTTCTCTTTTCTTAACTATAATATTATATCTAGTTCCTTTTTATTTCTTGCTTTTCTTCTTTAAGCCTTCTTTAAGCTTCTTTAAGTTTCTTTAAGCTTTATTTAAGCTTTATTTAAGCTTTATTTAAGTTCTTTTCTAACTTCCTCTTTTATTTCTTTATTTATTAAGATAAATACTTCTTTTAGTACTTATTAGCCTATTATTACTCATTTGGCTAATACTTCTATATTCTTAATTTATTCTTATTATTTTTAATATTTCAAGAATATTACTAAGTTTCCTAACCTTATTTATATTAAAAGTAATAATTACTTAATATATAATTATAATATATATAGGGTCGCACGTGACTTAAGAGCATATAATGAACCTCGGATATTACGGGTATTAATTAGGGAAATTAGTGGCCCTTTAATATCCTAACTAATTATTATTTATATTATATATATTAGGCTTATAAATTACTAATTATATATATATTATTAGGGCCTCCTATTTAGAGGGGGCTTCCCTAGACCTTATAAAAGAAATAGAAATTAGTTTTATACTAAATTTAATACTATAGTTTTATAATATACTAATTTATTCTATTATTTTATTACCTACTAATAAATACCTTATAAGCTAATCTTTTTATCTTTAAAGAAAATAGTTTAATAAGTAATTATATCTCGGAATCTGCGAAATATATAATCTCTTACTAGAGCTATTTCTATAAAGAAAGTTAACTAGATTAACCCTAATACGGGTAATAGTAAAGGCTTATCTAATACTTTTAATAGGCTTTTTAGAAGTCTCTAAGAGCCAGTAATAATAATAGAAATAATCCCGGTAATAATTAAGATATTGAGATTAATACTCAAGTTATTATTACCTAAGCTATAAAATAGGGCTTATATACTAAAGTTAAAGCGCTTTAATAAAAGCAAGAATTAGTAAATATAATTAACTAGTATATTCTATAATTAGAGTAATATAAGAGTATTCTTAGAAATATCTTATAGTTTATTATATCTTATAGAAACTTTATTTATAAAACTATTTCTTTTTTCTTAGTAATTCTTACTAGGGAATTTCCTAAAATAAGATTAGAACTTACTTTCTTTCCTAATATAATAAGCTTTAAGAGTAATCTTAATACTATTTATTAGGAGCTATTATATAATATTCTAAAAATATATTTAGATTAAGAAAAGTTTCTTAAAATCCGGATATCTGACTTATATTATAGAAAGTTTCTTAAGAAATAGAGAATATTTGTATTTTTCTAGAAAGTAGTTTTTAGGACCTAATCTTAAACTTATAATAAATACTTTTCTAAAATTAATTTTATTATAAGTACTTTTAGGAATAAACCTTATAATATTTAGGAAGCTATAATAAAATAAAGCCTACTATTATATAAGGTTTATTAGGAGTAATTTAAGGCCTACTTAGCTAATATATTCTAAGTATTTTAAACCTATTAATAAGATATTTTTAAGAAGCTCCAAGATCTTTATTAGAAAAATAGCAAGATAATTACTAAATTATATATTCGGATAATTAGTCTTAAAGTTAACTAGAACTTATACCCTAAGTAGGACTAGGTCCGGATTCTTAATACTACTTTATCTAATTATAAGACTTATTAGATATTTATATTTATTTTCTTAGGAAATAAGATAATATTTATTTTTAAGTAATTTAAAAAAGCTTAGAAAGCAGAATATATTACTTATTTCAAATTAAGGAAAGTAAAGGCAAGGAAGTTTAGTAAGAGTAATTCTGCTCCTAAGAACTTTAATTTAGTAAATTCTAATTTATAAGGCTATTAAAAAAGAAAGAATAAGTTCTAAAAATTACATAAGAAACCCTTAGGTAATACTTTAGCCTTTTTAAGGCCTTAATAAAGTACTAGTTCTATTTCAGATATAATTTATTAGACTTATAAATAAAAAGAATATTTCTCAGGAAATATAAAGTATTTTAAGTATACTAAATAGGCTTAGTAAAACTCTAATAAGGCTAAAACTATAAAAGAATTAAGGTATCTATAAAAGCAAATTAATACTATTATTATAAAGAAGCGTTCTAGAGAAAATCTTTCTAAGAAATAAGAAAAAGAAAAGGCCAAATCTTAAATATTAATAATTTTAACTATAATAAAAAAGATATATTATTTTATATAATTATTTAAATAAGATTAATATAGCCAGAAATAAGTGCCTTAGAAATATATAATAGACTTAATAATACCGGATTAGACTATAATTTCCTTAATAATAATTAGGCTTAAAGCTAGGGCTTTATTATCTTAGCTAAGTATAACTAAGGGTTTATAACCTTTTATAGGAATAAATTTAAGGTTTATTAAGCCTATAATCTTAAGGTATTTATTATAGATAATTATAGTAAGATATGTTTTTTTAAGCTCTAGTTCTATAAATATAAGAATATTAGCTCTTATAGCCTTATTTTTAGTATAGAATTTTATAAAATAACTCTTATATAATATATAAATTATATTAAGAAATAATAAATATATATATTTATATAACCTAATAATATTAAGATCCTAATACTAAAAGAGTTTAGTAAGAAGCTTAACTAGTATCCTGAGCTAGTACCTCAAGTTTTATTCTTAATAAAAGGCAAATATAATTATCTTAGATAATAGGCTTTATATATTTATAATAATTACTAGGTCTTTACTTTATTATATAATTCTAGTAATACTAAATAAGAGTTTTTAATATAGCAAATTAATATTTTCCGGAAAGAGGCTTTAGAAATACCTATTTATTTCCGGAATAATAAATATAAAAACTTCTTAGAGGTTTTTAACTTTAATAAAGCTTTAGAATTTCCTAATCTTAGTAATATTAAATACTTTATTAATATAAATAGTATAGTCCTATATAGGCCTTTATATAATCTATTAGAGACCTAACTAGAAGTATTATATTTATATTTATAGGATATGCTTTATAAATATTAAATAAGGCCTA